ATGGGAATATTTTGACCACAAAAATCTCAGATCCAAACAACGGATTAAATTTATAATAAAATCATTTATTCAAGATTTTTTTACGTCACTACTTATTACACTAGAATAATGTTTCATCTATCAGTATACCGAAAATTATGACGATATCTTAACAACTTTTCGCATGAAAGAGCCCAATTTGAGAGAAAACTCCTAAAAGTTTGGACGTGCAAAACTTACTGTAAACGTAGTGCGTTATACAGTGGCGACCAAAAGAAACTTGAAAATGTAATCACCCAGTCACCGTGTTAAAGCCTTGCATTACCCACTCATGCAGCATACCAATTTAAAGCTAAATAAATTCTTCATCATCTGGCACATTAATGTTTAATCTATTTTAAGAGACGCCCGAGATAGTGTCACTCAAAATTGACCTTAAAAAATAGGCCGGCACTATTTCTCCGAACGTTCGGGAAAATAAAGCTGGGCACTATTTCTCCGAACACTCTGAAATCACATCCTTTCTCGCAAATTTCGGATATTATATAGATCTATAATTAGTATAGGCCTACCAAAGATTGTTCGTATACAATATGGTTCAAGCGGTCCAAAAAATGTAGTAGTAGTAGTATAAGGTTTTACGGCGCTCGCAACTGCTAAGGTCATATGAGCGCGCGAAACACAAGTTGTTCACCTCTGCGAAAGTTCACTTCACGACTGGTAACTAATTTACTTTAAAATGCTAAAAAGTTAAAATATTCAAATTCGGTGTAAATACATTTGTGATCTAAAACAACTTTTAAGTAACAATAAATTTTTTAAAATAATATCAGATTCACTTTACAACTCGCCATAAAGGCCAATGGCCTTTATAAAATTTAAAATTCTGCTGGGAACAACGACGGAGAAAATATCCTGCAATTTCTTGCATTTATAATATTTCCTTCGGATCTCTCCAAAGTCTAGACATTCTGTTAAAATGTGTCTAATGGTAAAATCTGTGTCGCATCCGACAAAAAATGTCCGCAGTAAATATTTATATAAAGAAATGCTACAGTTCCTAACAGTTTTTCGCTACAGATATGACGTGTTGCCTATGAAGGGTGCTGCTCTTAAGCTTAATGTGTTGTGTTCACTCGTGTGCTGTCTAGATCTAGATCTACAGAGGGTTATTGATAACGACACATAGAACTGGCATCTGCGTTTGTCACTGCTGCGACCAATGTACTGACACTGGCAAAGCCCCTTAATGTGTGTGATTCCATAATTTACATGTAATATCCTGTCCTTTTTTTTATTATTACGCACATTTAGGGTTAAAACAGCCCATCTTCTTCGGACAGGTGGACACACGCCCTTATTTGTTAATGTTTGTTGTTGTTTATGGGCTGTTCTAATTTTGATTTCTTTCTACTTTCTGTTGTGAAACCTTTCTTTTTCACGTTTTTACACTCATCTAAAAATCTCTAGACTAGCTCTTGAAAATTGAAATAGATATAGACCCAAAAATTTGCTCCTGTGTGTGTGTGTGTGTGTGTATGTATGTGCGTGTGTGAGTGTGTCTGTGTGTGGTAGTAAGTGGAGAGTGAGGAGTGTGTGTGTGTGTGCGTGTGTGTGTGTGTTTTCGGGCTTTATTTCAGCCTTTATTCAGTAACAGTTCAAAGTATACAAAAATAGAAACACAGGATCCATTCACTCCAGGGCTCATGAGTCGTTCGTCACTTTCAGTTTCCCTCATTCATTCAATTCCCGTGTTCTCTCCCGCGGCTCATCCCTGTCCGCATGACTTTCTTCATACCCCACCCCCTCCCTCCAGGCACACACAAAGAAAATATCATTCTTTCCTTTGCACCCTGCGAACCATGGACAATAATATAGGCAAAACACTGCCTGAGCTGCATTCCTTTCTTTCGTGAGCTGTGGACCAGGCCAGGGGGTCGGTGTCGTCGTCTTGTCTTGTAGTTGCTGTCGCCTGTGAATACACTCGCACATTCTTCCTTTCACCCGCTCTTTCACTCACACTGTCTCTCCGTCCACAGCTCAGCTCGTCATACGTTCAAAAGTTGCCCACTGGTCATGTTTAGTTAGTGTGTGTACATGTGCATGATGGTGGTGGGTGTGTGGTGGGTGTTACTGAAGGTTGTCTGTAGGCGGGCTTGCCATGCGGTGTTCCTTCCCAGACCAGAGGCCAGAGGCAGAATGAAAGTTGGCGCCGAACTCTCGCAATAAATAGACAAAAAATCACGAGACCGGAAGCCGGAAACCGTTCGGAGAAATAAAGATCGGCACTATTTCTCCGAACGTTCGGAGAAATAGTCACTTCGTAAAAAATAAGGCTTGGCAAAATTGTGCGAAATCCAAGAAACGTAAAATTGTCTTTGCGCATTTATTGAAGAGTATCAATATTGATCGAATGGCAATATATTGAATGCCCAGTGAATGGAGAATTGTGTCTTTGCAATAAACAATATTTTATTACGATATTTTGTCACGATAGTTTCAAACATAACGGAAAACAGAGCAATCACAGATACCACACAAAACTTCGACTCAACACTAATTGTGTTCACTGTTATTTTGCTTAGGAACCATTGGCTTTGTGCTGTGCACGAAACCTTTGGGCATCAATTCTATTTAGTTTTGGACATATTTATCAGTCATTTCATTTCAAATGTCACAGAGAGTTGCAAACAAAGGGACTGAATTTGGGGGCAAAGTCGTTTTTCTTCAGCCGCTGTTTCAAGGGACTTCACATACCTGTAGGATTCATATCGGGGCTGTTGCAACTAACTATTCGAACGTTGACTTGATTTGGTTTTTTAAGAATTCTGTAATGGCATTGGCCCTATGAGAAAATGACGTGTTTCGCATGGGGATGACTACTTGAATAACACCTTGACGAAAATAAGGGTAAGACATGACGTTCCAGCACGTGCGCGATGTAGCCCACTAAACCAAGGCATCCGGTGATTCTCACGAGAGCGGCTTTGTTTATTCCACCCAAGGCCACCCAAAACCATGGCAGTTTCTTGGCCTCTATTCCTCACTGACAGATGTTAAAAATCTTACAGGGTCAGTGTGCAAAAGAGGTTTCGAGCTCGGTAAGAAACCAACAGCTCCTGAACAAAAACAAAACTAAAACTAATGAACGCAAGTAACTGTTACGTCCAGGTTTTGTGAGGCATTTGTAACTGCTCTGTTTTTCAATCTTCTTTAGTTTTCTACTCAGTTCTTCGTTGTTGGTGTTTTGGAAGCTCTGAAGTGCATACTTTTGCTAATGCGATGTGTGTAGTCATCTTTTACAATTTCAAAGTCATAAATTCCATAAAAATTGAGCATCTGATGAGATTTGGCATCTCTCCGTCACACAGTATCCCGCTGTGTACTAAACCTCAGTGTTCCGCTGATTTTGTGAATATTGTTTCAGCCTCCATAGCTTTTGCACTTCCTTGTAAATTTTGCTGGCACTTTATTTGATGGTGGTTCTCAAAGGCAGAATAAAAAAAGCGCATATCCGTCATTGTCACCTACTTCTTTATCTTTCTTCATTGGTGAAATTTTCTTTTTGGCAATGGGGTGAGGAGCAAGTTAATTCTCATCTAAAGTTTCCTCTTCACTATTATCACTCTCACGATATGTTTCATCACTATACCTACACCACTAGTGCCTATCAATGTTCGAACTGTCGTGTGATGTGCTGAAGAATGTCGATGCCATTGCAGTAGGAGTAGGCTGTGGTAATCTTGAGAAATTGAGGCTAGGGCATCAAAGTATTTTGGAAAGGTGTTTAAAAAGCATTTTCTGAGCTCGATAACTGTTGAAACTGGGGTAATGCCGAAACAGCACTCTCATCTCGTTGAATAGACGCTACCATCAGCATCGGCAAATGTCATTGAAAGAGACGGTTATGAGGCTGAAACAAAAGAATGAATTGAGTGTAGGAACTGATCTAAAATCTCTGTCTGTCTGTCTGTCTGTCTGTCTGTCTGTCTGTCTGTCTGTCTGTCTGTCTGTCTGTCTGTCTGTCTGTCTGTCTGTCTGTCTGTCTGTCTGTCTGTCTGTCTGTCTGTCTGTCTGTCTGTCTGTAAATATAAACACAAACACAGTTTTGGTGTAGAACAAAATAAGACAGTAAACATGCTATCAACTTTCCTGCTCTCTTTACTGTATAAAAATGCTTACATGATATGAAATACGCTTGCAAATAGTTTGAATGAAAGAATGAATATCTCGTTCTGGGCTAAAGACATAATACGCACACACAGAGAGAGAGAGAGAGAGAGAGAGAGAGAGAGAGAGAGAGAGAGAGAGAGAGAGAGAGAGAGAGTGAGTTTGCTATTATGATTATAAGAATTATTCCCGTCATTTTCTCTCTACGTCGGTTCCCAGGCTTTTTCGTTTTCCTTCATCTCATGGGATGGAACATTTGAAGCTGGCCAAAATATTAAAAATACGTCACTGTAGTCACTGACTAAAACCGGCAGTGGACGCTCCGTCTAAACGAAGCTTGAGTGCCGTGAATGTAGCCTCAACAGCGCCTGCAAACTGCATTCAGGGCGCCGTGAACGTAGCCTGCCAACTACATTCACGGCGCCGTGAACCTAGCCTGCAGACTACGTTCACGGCGCCGTGAACGTAGCCACTGCGTACTTTTATTTTTCCCTCTTTTGTGGTGTTTTATTTTGTTAGTCACAGTTAGTGTATTTCTTTCTTTCTTGTTATTGTTCTGATGTGTTGTTTTTCTATCAATTTTTTTTGATTGGGGAAAAAGGGGGGGTGGGGGTGTTGCATAGTGTAACGTCATTTAATTTGATGTTCTTAAAATGTTCACAAGAAATTCCGTGTGTGAAAGTAAAATTATTCAGTAACATATCGTCATATGTGTTCAAAATAAAGAAAAGACCTAGATTCTAACCCTAACCCAAACCTATCGCTCTATTCTTATAGTATAGGTAGATCTAGTCTACTCTACAGTCTACTGTATAATATAATAATGGTCGCTCGTTACGGAATTCCTCCCGTTATTTTTATGGACAAAAACAAAAACTGACTGAGATAGATCTAGAGAAAGAAAAATTGAAACCTCCTTTTTTATCATACACAGGCACATCATCATCAATATTATTATTATTGACAATTCAATAAGTTACAAAAATAACAAACAATAAACAACAAAGGGCAGCTCACCTAGAATCTAGTCCTAAACTAATCTTAATGAATGACGTGTGTACCAGGTGAAATATGAGAGAACCAAGTACTTTTTCGAATAATTTGATTAAGTTGGTAAACAAGCCAATCCTTCTCTATCGCATCCAATTATGAGTTTGAGAAGAAAGTCTCTCACGACGTACTAGGCAACAAGAATCTACAAAAGCCTCTTAGAGAAAACTAGATCTAGATCTAGGCCTACCGCCATTTTGACAACTATTGTAAACATTGCAATTGCCGCGAAGATGACTAAAAAACTACAACTGATAACTATCCTGAAAATAAGTGTGATATCTTGTGCTAGCTGGAATAATTATTTGAGATAAGCCTAAGATGTTTCAGTTTTCATATGACTTTTAAACAGTTTATACTTGTTAAAAGCACTGGGATCATCAATTTATCTGAGGAAACATACAAATTTCAACTATTTTGTTTTGTTGCGCAAAAAGGAAGTACATACTTTTTAGTACATAATCTATAGTTTTCTGTTTTTTTAATTGTAGACCGGAAGTTTAGTGTTTACACTTTCGGTTTTGATCCATGTGTTGCAGCGAGGCAAACAGAAGATCTAAACAATAGTTTTCATTGCTTCGGGGAGACAAGACTGCCGCCAACTCTAAAAGATGAAGAGAATACACACGGAAGACGATGAAGTAAGTTTGGTAAATTTTTACTTATGCACCCACACACAGATGCATTTATTTGAGGGATCTAGAGAATCATCTAGATTACTAGAGTCTAGAGTAGAATCTAATCTATTCTATGTAGATTCTAGATCTAGATTTAGAATCTAGATCTAGATCTAGATCTATATCTAGATCTATATTCTAGATATAGATATAGATTTAGATCCAGATCTAATATAGATCTAGAGTCTAGATTTCTAGATCTAGATTAGATATATATTAGATATAGATTATAGATATAGATCTAGAATCTATATATAAATCTAGAATCTAGATACTAGATATAAATCTAGATCTAGAATCTAGATCTAGTAGATCATAGAGTCTGAGATCTAGTCTAATGTAGAAATCTAGATCTAGATTAGATCTAGATCTAGACTGTAGTATTGTAGATCGCTAGATCTAGAACACATTCTCATCGGTCATGGCCACTAAAACCCTTGCAAATCCAAAATTGTTTTCAAGTAAATATCAATCCTATACTAATCTAGATTTAGATATAGATCTATACTATTTGCCAAAACATCAAATCATTGTCAAACGGAGTGTCTACGTACACGGCAACCGGGCACCTAGCCTCAGTGTCTACGTACACTGACACGATAACCGGCAAGTCAACCGGGCACGTAGTCTCAGTGTCACGTACATGGTAACCAGGCAGTTCAGAACTCCAAGTTCAGTTTTTGTCATTCGGTGTTGCCTTCATCCCCACCCCTCCCCCGACTGTAGGCTACCTTAAATAAAAATCAATAATCCCCCACCCCCCCACCCCATTCCGGAGCCCTAGATCTATACTTCGCAGCGCACAGGCTTTGATTGAATGAAATGTGGTGACCCCAACCGGTACTCACAATGTGATGTGCACACACAGGTTCACTGACCGGTCACGGTGGCGAGCCCGACAAGACGCTTGTATGACTTTCTTTTTTTTCAGCCAGTGACAGCACAGGACAAAATATTGATTTATTTTCATTCAGGTTTACTGTGTACGTTGATACTGTGACTAGGCGCCCGGTTACCGTGTACGTAGACACTCTGTTGTCAAATGCAGGGAGGGGGGTATATGCCTCCCTCAAACCCCCCAGATTCTTTTTCGGTTGACTAGTTCCCACCCTGCAATTGTTATTCGCTGGTTTTGGCCCCAAGAGTTGGGGGGTTTCAGGGATTTTACCATAATATATTTGATATTTTGCAGTTGTTAGGTTTGATATCTCAGCTCGCTGCGCATCAAACGTGTAGATCTAGGCTCAAATAAGGGGGGTGGGAACTACCGAAAAAGCACCAGATTCTTTTTAGGTCAGGGGGCCCCTGAAATGACGGTGCATAGAGAGTTTGCTGTCAAAATAAATGCCTAGATTTTTCGCTTTATCTGCGAAAAAGATGTTATCATTCCCAATACATATATATGGTAAAAATTATTAAATTGCAAAGCAATATCCCTGGTTTGGCATTGCAAAACAAAACTTGGTCTTATCATCATTCATTTTAAGTCTGTTTGATATCTTCCATTGGTTTACCTCCACAATACATTGTTCCATTCTGGTAACTAGACAATTGAAATTTGTTGGTAAAACAGACTTGTACAGCTGAGTGTCGTCTGCGTACATGTGGTAGTTAACGTCGTGCTTCCTATATATGGATACATTCTCTTTCGTTACCACAAAGGATGGGCGCCCTTCATGATCTTCTTCCATCACCGACTTGAATCCAGATTTTTATTTTCTAACCCAGTATGTCACAGTTATAACGAGGACGTTTGTCACCATAAACATCGACCATTTCCTGAAAACTTTGAGTAGTTTATGCGACTTTGTTTTATCGCGATGCCCAAACTTTAGCCCAGACACCAGTCTTACTACTTTTACACAACAAAATGTATCTTTATTTTTCTCACTAAAGAAATGTAGGACTCTTCTTTATAATATTGATACTATTGGGCTCAGATTGCCAGTGCACTGTTATTGAGAAATCAATATTTTTGAGTGCTAGATCTAAATGGTCAAAATATTTTTTTCTCCCCAAAATCACTTTTTGGTGAAATTACACAAAAAGTGCCACTCAAGACATGTATAGGTTTATTCCAAATGCAATTCTGAATACTTCCATCAAGGTACGAATGTTGTTTTTTTTCTGTTTGTGAATGCATCTTGTCCTTTTTTCAAGATTATAAAATAAAATTTTTTTTTTTTTTCAATATGGGGTGTTATGATCCAAATGTACACATTTTATGAAATGAATGCAAAAAACAGCAAATTTTTCAATATTTTCCAGTTCTATTTTCTTTGATGGTTATTTTGATGTATCATTTGACAAGGTGCAAACATATTTTTTGGTGGGTGGTTGACGGGTGCTCTGGTGCGGTTTGCTCCTTATTTCCTATCAAACATCTATCGTCCTTATCTCCCCTTGTTCTTTTTTATGTTTGTTACTCTCTTGTAACACCTCTAATCTTCTGGCGCTCATATGACCTTATGCAGTTGCGAGCGCTGTAGAACCTCTACTAAAACAAAAACATATTTTTTGAGTTTCTCCAAAGATGAAAAAAATTTTTTTTATCTGCATCCAGGCAAAATTGTGTTCCATAATTGCCTCTTACAGGAACCAAAATTGAAAAATACTCAAATAAATATTACAGATGTATTCTACAAACCATGCTGAAAAATTTGGTATATAATATGTTGATATTTATTTGAATTAGTGGCCCCAAAGACCTTTGAACTGCGCACTAGTCATCATCTCATTTCGCCCTCCCGGAAAAAATTCGTCCTCAAGCCGAAAATAATAGGTAGCGAATGAGTTAAATGTGAGGACATAGGGGCAAGCCCCCATAATCTCCCATTGGGAATTTATTCTTTGGTTTTAAAGACAACCCCTTCCGCATGTCGTGCCTGCGCATGTCGTGCCTCCGAGATTAGCTAACTGTTGCTAGGGGCAATGAACCCATGTTGCTAGGGGCGGTGAACCCATGTTGCTAGGGGCGGTGAAACCATGTTGCTAGGGGCGGTGAACCCATGTTGTTAGGGGCGGTGAACCCATGTTGCTAGGGGCGGTGAACCCATGTTGTTAGGGGCGGTGAACCCATGTTGTTAGGGGCGGTGAACCCATGTTGTTAGGGGCGGTGAACCCATGTTGCTAGGGGCGGTGAACCCATGTTGCTAGGGGCGGTGAACCCACACTATGATACTTTGACCTTTTCTCTCCTCCCACTTCCCAGGATGACCCCAGCAGGGACTCGGCCGCCAGTCTGGACACATCGGGAGTCTCCTCCACCCAAGCCCTGCCCGCCAAGAAAAAGCCGCGGTCGAAGCAGAAGGACAGTAGTCATGAGTTCAGCAGCAGGGAGATTGCCAGACTGCGCCACATGGGGGCTGTGGACCATTCCAGCTTGTTTAGGCTACAGGTGAAATATGTGCTTATTGGTCTGTCTGTCTGTCTCTCTGTGTGGGTGGTTGGTGGGTGTCACTGGGAGGTCCTACTTCTTCTCTCTCTCTCTCTGTTGTTTCTGTCTGTGTGGGTGGTTGGAGGGTGTCACTGGTAGGTCCTACTTCTTTTCTCTCCCTCTGTTGTTTCTGTCTGTGTGGGTGGTTGGAGGGTGTCACTGGCAGGCCTTGTGTATTTGTGCCCCCCCCCCCCCCCCTCTCCATGCCGTGGGTCTAGAGGACAACTATAAACTATTGTAGGTGTCCTGTAGGCCGGAATGGAGATTTTCCAATGTCCTCACCTTCCACTAAAGGACACAACTTGTGTCCCAACATCAGAGCTGTAACTTGACAAATGACACAACTTGTGTCCCAACATCAGAGCTGTAACTTGACAAATGACACAACTTGTGTCCCAACACCGGAGCTGTAACTTGACAAATGACACAACTTGTGTCCCAACTTCAGAGCTGTAACTTGACAAATGACACAACTTGTGTCCCAACATCAGAGCTGTAACTTGACAAATGACACAACTTGTGTCCCAACATCAGAGCTGTAACTTGACAAATGACACAACTTGTGTCCCAACATCAGAGCTGTAACTTGACAAATGACACAACTTGTGTCCCAACTTCAGAGCTGTAACTTGACAAATGACTCTGTTACAGCCAAAGAGCTCTCAGAAGAGTTCTTCTGTGTCCTACTTGAGAAAACATTTTGAGCCAAAGTATTAGATGTGGCAGTGAAACTACTTTTCCTACTTTCAAAACTTGCAGCCGGTGTTAGAAAATGGAGAAAACTATTGTAAGTGCTCAAGTTAGAAAACTGTCCTTCTCAAATGGCTCTTCCAAAAACAAACGAAACTATTGTAAGAACGGCTTTAGAGATAAGGCCGACGTAGAAAATGTTGACTGTACATAGAAAAAACTGTTTGTTCTGCGTCTGTGAAGGTGACTGAGTTGCTGAAGGAAGTGTCGGTGAAGGGCAAGCTACGCCAGAGACTCTCGGCGGCTGTTGACGCACTCACCAAACTGCTGCTGGCCTTGCCCGCGGGGACCGAGCACGAGGTATTTCTTGGTTTTGTTTTTTGGGGTTTCCTATTAGTAAGAATAATATTTGCATTTTTATGGCGCATATCCATGCTGCTCAGCATTCTCGCTGTGTTTTTTAACTTTGAAAAAAAAACCCTTACTGAAGTAAGTTTTGTCGTGCTGAAACAGGTGAGCTTGTGTGTGGATGTCTGACTCTCTCCTCTTTCTTTCTGTCTATCATCTGTGGTCCTTGTCTGTTCTCCTTCCTTCCTATCAAACATCTATCGTCCTTATCTCTCCTCCTTCTTTCCTATCAAACATCTATCGTCCTTATCTCTTTGTCTGTGTGTTGTGTGTTATAGAGCATTGACTGTGTGTTGTGTGTTATAGAGCGTTGACGGTGCGTTGTTTGTCTGTGTATTGTGTGTTATAGAGCATTGACGGTGTGTTGTGTGTTATAGAGCATTGACTGTGTGTTGTGTGTTATAGAACATTGACGGTGTGTTGTGTGTTATAGAGCATTGATTGTGTGTTATAGAACATTGATGGTGTGTTGTGTGTTATAGAGCATTGACGGTGTGTTGTGTGTTATAGAGCATTGACTGTGTGTTGTGTGTTATAGAGCGTTGACGGTGCGTTGTTTGTCTGTGTATTGTGTGTTATAGAGCATTGACGGTGTGTTGTGTGTTATAGAGCATT